ACATACAAAGCTAGTAGTTTATGTTGAGCTAAAACCTAAGAACTGACAGAATAAAAAGACCAAATTACAGCATTTTCTAATCTAAGAACAAACAGGCTCATCCCAAGGCAATTATAAAACCTAGTGTCGAATGCAAATGACAGAATTTCCATAGACATAACAAAGTACATTATTCTGCAATATTAGCATCTAGTATGGAAATAGCCTGTGTCAAATATGGCTCTAATATTAAAGCCTTAGGAGAGCCTTCATAGCAAAAACAGTCTGGGAAAATTAAACTAGCTACAATCAAAAAGAAAGAAAACAATGATGTGAAATCCCTGCTGTCACCAAACAGCTATAGAGAAAAACAGAGACACAGAAACCAGGATTACATGCAGATTAAGTTTACAGCACAATCCTGTCATCTTGATATTATCAGTGTATTGATGATCCGGAACAAAATGCGGGTTCAATTTTAAGAGAAAACGCCGCCAACTACAGACTGGAGCTGATTCTGCAGTTTTCTCAAATTCTGTCGGATTAGCTGGATTAAAATGCATGTTTACAGCGACTCAACAATAAACTACAAATCAACTGCTGGACCTCATTAAACCACGAGACGTCTGGAAAACAGATTTACCGCTGGTGGATTGCATCGCTTGCTGTTCAGTATCACTATCACCAATAAGTAATTTGTGATCCCACTGATTTCATTCATTAGATTCCACAGAGGGAAGCATTAATCGCCGAGTGATTAATCAGGAGTCGGGATTCTCCCGCATCAACCTTCCTGCTGCTGATTAGTCTCCAAGGGCGACCAGCGACTCATTAGTCAAACTGAGATCAGCAGGTGGTGACTGATGGCGCGATCATTTCTGCTTTATTGATCCACAAACCAGTGCTGCGGCCACTCTATTCATTTCAATATTATTCTTATAATTTCACCAAATTATCATTATATCACTCAGTTTCCAGGACGACTGAACACAAGTCTGCATTGTATCTTTGATTAGTAAACAGACTCAGGCATTTTTCCCATATAATGCCCAATGGTGGAATATAAGTAGGCTACATGTACTAACTACAGCACCTAGGTACGCATTTGAAGTACTTATTTATTTATATGGGTATTTTTATTTTATGCTCCTTTATATTTGCTACTCCACTACATCTCAGAGGGAAATTACTTTGCAAAAAATAATTCAGCTAATAAATTGATGATGTATCATTATACAGTATATGGTAAAATACCTAGCAGTATAAGAAGAAGTTAATATGAGCTCCACCTTTATCAGCTGCACCATTAGAGTGATGAAAACATCAATGCATTACTTATTGAAATCCAGATAATAAACATTACATTTTCTGAAATATGCCTTTCTGCATTATACAAACTTTCAACTTTTGGACCTCTAAGTACTTTTGTAAATGTACTTAACAGAGGCTTTGATTGCAGGACACTGTGGTATGAGTACTTTTTTGTTAAGTTCAAGTTCTGGATACTTCTTCCGCCCTGGTTCATGCCACACATCGGATGACTCATGTTCAGAAGCCTGTGAAGCTGACACTTGTTGCAGTCAAAAGGTGAAGCTGACACTCAGGAGTGTGATGCCTGTGATGCCAGCTGGGTGAGAACGAGAAACACTTTAGGCAATTCAGACACATGAAAACAGCAAATGTTCCCAGAGCAGAACAGATTGTCTGATTGATTCCTGTTATTCATCTGCAGTCTTAATGTTTTACTGTCCGTTACTCCCAGGTGTGCTGTTCGTGTGGGACTAACTGCGCCAACAGCACAGCGACGAGCAGCTCCACAGCAGGGGAGCAGTCACATTGCAGCAGAAGAATCATGTGAAAATGTCGAGCAAAATGTTGTTATGCACTCCCATAAAGAGTCTAAGTGGCTAAAAGCTTTATGTTTCAACAACATTAAACTTCTCCCTAGAGAGAGGTGTGCAGGGGCAACCTTCTGAAGAGCACAAAGTCACCTCACTATGTCCTGAGGAAATGTGGCAGTGACTCTCATGCATGGAGAGTACTATGTGAAGTAGTGTAAAAGTTAAAAGGTATTTTAGGAAAGGAGAGTGCTTTCAGGTTAAATTCAGAACAATGTTTACAAACCTAAAACATTTGTGATGTATTTTGTGGTACTGTGAGCTTTTAAAAACTGGACTTTACTTTCTCCTGCTAATGTATCCTTCGTTGTACTCACCAAAGTAATCACTGAAATCTCTTTAAATAAAAGGGTGACGGGGCAACAAACATGAGTGGTTGAGCAACAAAGTTTGAAAACAAACCCCAGGTCTGTTCAATGTTATCAAAATGTATTACACCTGCCCCGTAGATTGAGACGTAGAACTGTTTTCTGATCTGCAGGTCTGTAGCATTTGTCTGTTCTTTGCAAAGCAGCTGCCTGAATGTTAAAAAGTTGATCCATTTGTTTCTTATGGCAATGGCTGACCACCTAAAAATAACTAGGACCTTCACAAGGCTTTGTCACCTGAATGTGGTTTTGGAGTTCTCTCTGAAAAGAATGATGCTGTCCTTCTTCCTGTGAAGACTTATTCAACTTATTTTATAGAAACACAAAACATGAAGGTGACCCACTGAACTTGACCCAGTTAGTCACACGGGCAGTTTGAAGCTTTAAAAGCGACATTCAGTTAAATACCAAAAATGAATTGGTGCAGACAGCCAGCTTGTTTACGAACTGTATGAGTGTTGTTCTCCCACTTGGTCCTATTTATAGCAATGATGCCATATTCCCTGATCTGAGCAATTGGAGTGTTAGTATATTTTACAGGGTAGAATTGTTATTCTTCACAAAACTATTTTTGCATACTTCATGCTTTAATGAGTGCAACGCTGTTAATCTTTTTCACCTCGTCTTTGTGTAGGGCCATCTGAAACAGCTATAAAGAAATAGTATTAGCTCTCTGCTTGCCTCACCTGACCTTTACTTTGGTAAGTGCAATGTCATCTATAACTGCATACTGTATAACCATAATAAATGCCAAATTGATGAGAAATAAAAAATGTTGTGAAGAGTGACCTCTTGACTGTGAGCGTTCTTTCCCTCTTTCCGTTATTTTTACTGCATTTATTTGAAACTATCAATGTTTTATCTCTGGCCTAAATAAAATACATATTTGTAAAGTAATGAGAATAGTTGAGAGACATAATAAAGTTGGATTAGAGGGTTGGCCTCAGTGGAACACACTGCCGAACCTCCACAGTGTGTCATCCGTAGCTCTCCAGTAACATTTTATTTCTGTTAGTCCATTTTAACATCTTAATCAGGCCTCAGTGCATGTGCAAAAACTTGATGTTGGCACATAACATCTGATGTATTGAGTCCCTGGTTAAAAGGAAGCTCTGTTTACTTTTTGTCTTTAGTTCTCTCTCAGAAACTGTAACTTGTGACGCGCTGTTCTCATTAGGCTCAGTATCCACGCGGAGCTGGCCCAGATAAACCTGCTCAGCAAGTCTTTCCCTGAAGAGTTACAGTTACTGTGCTAGATGTGCAAAACCCAGCCAACACAGAACAGAACATACTCTGTGGGAGAAAGATTTAAAGTCTGCTGTGCTGTTCAGAGAGCTGCAGCCCAATCTACCCCCCTAACTGTGTGTGTGTGTGTGTGTGTGTGTGTGTGTGTGTGTGTGTGTGTGTGTGTGTGTGTGTGTGTGTGTGTGTGTGTGTGTGTGTGTGTGTGTGTGTGTGTGTGTGTGTGTGTGTGTGTGTGTGTGTGTGTGTGGGTGTGTGTGTGTGTGGGTGGGTCTGTGTGGGTGTGTGTGGGTGGGTCTGTGTGAATGCATGCATGTGATACATTAAGAGTGAGAGTATGCGAGTGTTTGCAATAATTGAGTTTAGTCAAGAGTTACTTGGGGTCTAAGAGCATTACACACTTGAGTGTGATTGATAAAGTGGATATGGCGTTGTAGCCATAGTAAGTCCATAAGCAGTGTGTTACTGGGAGCAGTAGCAGCATTGGGGCTTGGAAAAGGGACACACAGACACACAAACATGCACAAATTCCCACATACACGCATGCACGCACACGCACACGCACACACACACACACACACACACACACACACACACACACACACACACACACACAGCTAAAAAGTTACATCTAAAGTCAGCTTATTGTGCATCGTAATTGACTCATTTTGAGTCCTAATTCACATGATGTAAACAGACTTAGAGTGAAGGATTATGCTGATGTTAAGTAAACCTAAAACAGGTAAAATCACACATTCAAGCCTGAGTATATTACATGTTATTAAGGACTGAAAGACGCTAAGAAATTAATGTTTTTTATCTCTGTAAATACATTCTGAAATATATGTTCATGTGTATTTAGTAGATTTCTGTTATACAGCTACTGGTTTTCCTTTCACCCAATGAGATAGTTTTATCATTGATTTATAAACTATTTTGATATTCACTATATATAATTTAATAACAAAGATTTCCTTCAGTTAAGTTTAACCAGAGTAAATGGGCCTGATATGTTTGGCAAATCTGACAAAATAGTATCTCATACATGTTGTTGAGCATGCTTTCAAAGGCTGCTACAATTATATTGAAAGCATCAGAAAATGTAAACGAGCAGTCTTTTAAGACCTTGGAGGAAATGACTTCATTAGCCTCTTTGTGTGAGATGGATTTTTTCTAGCTAAAGGAACAATTACCCTCTTGACTGAGGGTGCTTTACAGGGAGTGCCTGCTGACACGCTGACCATTTTGTTATAACACTATAATTATCTCACAACCTTTTCTGTTTTCCCTTTATGTTATTTAGCAAAATATGTCAAACCTCTCATTTCTTTTGGTGTTGTTGATGTGTAGATTGTCTTCAAACTCTAACAATAGGCAATTTGTCCGATCCCATAAAACGTGGTGTCCGACCAAGAATACAAACTCAGTTTAGTCAGTGTTGAGGTTTGATGTTCAACTCAGTCGGTGTGCATACATATAAACATCAGGAATACACAGAAACAGCAGGACTCACCTTGATCCAGAGACTTGGCAGGAGCCCAGCTTTTGAAGTAGTCATCCTGAGTGGAAACACAACACAAGAAACTGGGTTATGAAAAAAGAACTAGATTTGGAGAATATCACTAAATTATTTTTCAGACCAGAGAGAGAACAGCCCAAATACTAAACCAAACTACTGAGAGACCCTGTCCTCATTCTACTCGCCTTTTGTTCTCTACTACTTGTGTTTTGTGAAGATGAATGATTGCAGTAGAGAATAAAAAGACACGGAGAGGTAGAAGCTTGTTTAGACGTTTAAAAATAGGACACACATATACAGAGAGAACTGCAGGAGACACACTGGGTGGTGAAGAACATTACATGCTCTGGTGAATAAAGGGTTTAACTAGGACAAAACATTTAATGTCAAGGTCAAAATTGACTTCTACTCGGAAAACTGTTCAGGAAGAAGGGTTGTTGTAAAAAGATAACAGGATGTACATTTTTGCTACTGGGATCTTCTTAAAATCATATATGAAGAAGCACACATTATTGTTATTACTAGAGTCGTCTACTGTCATGGAGAAAGTGTCTTTAATTGTAAATATCAGAGAGATAACTGTCTCAGTTATACTGAGCTGATTAGAGGTTTGGATTTGTTTTATTCAAACACATCTATTCAGAATAGATTTTCTGCCCAGCAAGATACATCTGTTATTATTGTAGAGCAATTAAAACAGCCACAATTAAACCGCATAAATATTGTGAGTGATCCACGCATCTCTCACGTATAAGAACATATTGGTTAATAGTCGATGAGTCAAGGAGTGGTGTGTTTTCATCCTGCAGCGCTGCAGCAGAAGCAGTTGTGCATTTCAATAGAGCTCTCTGTTATGTGAACAGGTTGATGCTCAGAAGTGTCTGGAGGTTGTAAATGATTTTATAACCCTGCCTCAGCCTTCACTGTGAGTGCCATGAGCTCCATATTTGCATGAAAAATGGTTCATAACACACTTTGGTTATGTAGTTTTATGTAGTGTTCTTATGTAGTAAGAACTGTAGAAAATGTTAATGCTTTTTCCTATAAAGACATTGTAGATTTTTACAACACTGTTTGTACCGTCATAACTAACTCTACAAGTTTACAACCACAGTGTATTTTAAACCATTAATGACATATTTATATACGGCTTAACACTGATTAATAAAGATAAACTGATTAAGGTTGCGCCAGGTATTGACTGAAGGCGTTCCTTTCAAAGTGAGTAATACAACCCCACTACCCCCCCCCCCCTCCTCACACACACACACACACACACACACACCCACACACACACACACACACACACACACACACACACACACACACACACACACACACACACACACACACACACACACACACACACACACACACACACACACACACACAGTGGTTGTGCCTGCATCTAAAGTAGCGCCCACAGCGAGGCATATGTGTGTCAGCACGGGGGAGCCTGTGTCAGTGACACTATGTGAGCGAGGCAGAGAGAGCCTGCTGGGTTTGTGAGCGGAATCTCTACCTCCTTAATTATTGAATTAAAGAGAGGGGAAGGGGAGACGGAGGGAGGGGGGAGATTAGTCATAGGAAACAGTAGCAGAAAATGGACAGTTGACCCATTCATCCAGTCCTCGTTCTATAAATGACAGCTGTCCGCATTAGAGCCGATATAAAAGTTATAAATTAAGAGACGCAACCTAGATATCTTCTCCCTCGGGTCCTCATGTCACTAAGTCCTCACTTCATTTTTTATCTTATTCTATGTCCTTCTCCCCTGCTCTGTCTCTATGATCAAATGATCCTTTATTGCTGTGGAAAGTATGATGTTACTGTGTGAGCAGTCATTTCTGCACAGTTCTAACTGAGCATTGTACCATTTAAACAAATGTGAAACCATTACATTTTTATTCTATGCTTATACAGTACAGTGACAATGATTGCCCATGCTTTGAAAACTCCATCCTCCCTGTACGATATGTTCACTCTAGTATCAGTTGAAGAAAAAAGGATACTAGTTTGAATCTGCAGAAAAAACAACAACACATCTATTCATCTGTATACTGTAAAGGCTTATACAGATGAGGTTACTGTAAGTAACAGCTCATTATTCAATGTAATGTACGCATATTTCAACATATGATCTGAATTAAAAAAGGCAAGAACATTAAATTGACTCTCATAAATGACAATTTGAATAAGTAAAATTAAATCAGGTAATATTCAACCTGCTAACAATAAGTTATGGTTATATGAATCCAAGGTCGAGCATTTCTCACTTGAGCTCGATAATTTTTTTCATCTTAATGAATGATTTCTAAACACAGACACCATTAAATGAATGAAGCATAGACCAAAGGTTTTTTAATGAAATGATCAACTATGTATGGGTGTAATGTTCCGGTTTCCCCATATTTTTGGATGTCTTTCTTTAAAATTATGAAACCTACTGAACCAATAAAGCAATATTTTACTGAGCTGAATTGTAAGAAGTCCATCTCAAAGTGGTGCCAGACAAACATTACACTGTCTGCGGCTTCCAGGAAGGAAGTGCCAAACGTCTCAAAATGGTATCATCAAGTTACAAACACAATGGATTTACTTACCTCCGCTTCCTTTAAACGGTTGCAGAGGAGAGAGGCAGAGGAATAAAAAGGAGAGAGAAGAGAAAGAAAGAAAGGTCAGTGATAATGGCACAGTATGCTATATCTATCAGAGCTATTACAACCCGGCGTTACTCATTCTGAATACTGAACCCAACTCTGCAGATTCATTTAATAGGAATCTGATTCTGAAGGTGGACCAATACCAAAGAACACACACATACACACACATTCGTGCTCACAGTCTTATGAGATAGCCTTATTTGATGTGGCATGTAATTTAAAACCCATCGAGGGCAAATTGTACAGGCATAGAGTTAAGGCACAGCATAGAGAAAAAGAGAGGGAGGAGAATTAAAGAGGGGGAGTCAAGGGGATTGTGCATAAATAGAGGCAGCAGGAAAAGGGGTATGTGATTTTGGTGCATTTTTATTGTGCTATAATGTGGTGGAGAGGGTCAAAGGAATATGTTAGTGAAGGGTTGCCTTATCTAAACTATGGCTGGGTAATATATATTAACATTATATTGGATATAAGACTCCTGTATTTTATTTGTCAAAAGATCGAAAGTGATATATTTTCCTGGTTTGAAAGGCAGCATTACAGTAAATGCATGTCATTTTCTAATAGTTCTATTATTTCACTCCTTATTCAATACATTTACTTTACATATGATTATTAATCTACATTCTCATTGTGTAAATTATTTGTTGAAGCATTAATTGTTAACACTACATTACCGTTACTACATAACCACAATATTGAGGCCTAATCTGAATGAGGGTCGACGATTGAAGGTCTTATGTATATTCTGTTATTACGAAGTGAAATCTCTATTTGGCATCTGTTTTAGCATATTAAAACTAAACATGGCAAAGAAATGTATGTTTGTTCAAAAGCACATTGTATACATTTACAAATTCAACTGTGAACCTACAACTAGACATGAGAGATGTATGAGGGGAAAGCTATCAGTGGCAGAATCTCAGTGTTAGTATTATTAGATCTCAGCACTGCATTTGATGCTGTTGACCACAACATATTGCTAGACCGACTAGAAAACTGGGTGGGAGTTTCGGCAACAGTTCTAAATTGGTTTGAATCTTACTTAAACGACAGAAAAAACGTTGTCTCTATTGGCAACTACCCATCAGCGTTGACAAATATGACATGTGGGGTTCCTCAAGGCTCCATCTTAGGACCTCTGCTTTTTAATATCTATATGCTACCACTGGCTCAAATAATGAAAAACAACGACCTAAGTTATCATAGCAATGCAGATGACACCCAAATGTATATCACAATTTCACCCGGACACTATTCACTGAGTAAGTGCATTGAGCACGTCAATGACTGGATGAGTAAAAACTTCCTCCAATTCAACAAAAAGAAAACTGAGATTATTGTTTTTGGAGCAAAGGAGGAACGAATAAAAGTAATCGCAGAGCTTCAGTCGGCAGACTTCAAAACAACAAATAAAGCAAGAAATCTAGGTGTAGTGATGGACTTTACATTACAAACATTATTAAGTCTGCATACTATCACCTTAAGAACATATCTAGGATTAAAAGACTAATGTCACAGCAAGATTTGGAAAAACTTGTCCATGCTTTTATCTTCAGTAGACTCGACTACTGCAATGGTGTCTTCACAGGTCTCACTAAAAAATCCATTAGAAAGCTGCAGCTGATTCAGAACGCCGCTGCTCGAGTCCTCACTAACACTAAAAGAGTGGATCACATCAGTCCTGTTCTGAAGTCTTTACACTGGCTTCTAGTCTGTCAAATAATTGATTTGAAAGTACTGCTGCTCGTTTTTAAATCACTGAATGGTTTAGGACCAAATTATATTAACGATCTCCTGCATAACTATAAACCATCCAGATCTCTCAGGTCTTCAGGGACTGGTCAGCTTTCTGTCCCCAGAGTCAGAACTAAACATGGAGAAGCAGCGTTTAGCTATTATGCCACCACGACTATCTGGAACAAACTCCCTGAATCCTGCAGGTCCGCTGCAACTCTTACTACTTTCAAATCCAGACTGAAAACTCATATTTTTGCTGCTGCTTTTGATTAATCTGTTCATATTCACACTGCAGTATGGCATTTATTCATGAATTCTATACCTATTGTGTTTTATTATCTTTGCTTTTTAATGCCTGTTTTTAAATGCCATTTTATAATGTGTTTCTGCTGTATTTCTTCTTAAATGTATTTTATTTTATTTTGTAAAGCACTTTGAATTGCCGTGTGCTGAAAGGTGCTATATAAATAAACTTGCCTTGCCTATGCATTCTTTCTCCCCTCATTAACAATAAACCTTCATTTGTTCATCCTAACTCAGGAGGCTGTTTCCTGCGTAAGTGTCCGCTCTAATGATTGTAACAACTTCTGACTCATGCAATTTGGTGTGTTGGACTTCACGATTCACAAATTGAATTCATTAATGAATATTGGTTTCAATATAAGGTACTTTGCATAATAAAAGCAGACACACAGATGGTCACTTAAAACAGATTAATCCCTATATACTATGGCTCAAGTTAATGGCAAAAATGAAGTTTATTTCATTATAATTTGAATGTAGAAGAAAGTTGACAGGTAAAAGGTTGGATTTCAGCCCATCTGAGGTCCTCTTTAGAATCCAGTGACAGTAAAAGTGTCTGTGTGTCTACATCCGAACCAGATCCCATGAACAAAATAAACCTGTTGTCTTATATATGCGACGTGTTGTTTTTTTCTGCTGTGTTCAGTGTGACCTGCAGCTACAAACACATTGTGTGTAAAGAGAAAGTGTTTCATCTGTTATCATCAGATAACAGATTGTACGGCGTCCAGCAGAGTACTGCAGCCGAGGTGCCGCTGCCTGTGCTGTGCTCTCTTTTACTAGCTGGTGTTACTTAAGGTTCACAGCAGTTCCTCCTCTTATTATTCAATATAAGTCACAGGAATGACCTTTCCGAGCCCAAGATCCACATTAATATTTTAGTGTGCTCATCTCAAAAGCATTAACTGTCTGTTTAGCTGACTGCGACACTGCCCCAATGTCATTCAAACCCTTTAAAGTGATTAGATGGAGATAAAAATGTGTCGTTATTATCACACGGTCTCTGTTGGAGGTGGTGCTGGAGCACTATCAGCTAGAGTTTCCCAGAGAGGGAAGTCTTTCAACCGTGTCCATTTATATCTGCAAACACTCTGCAGGAGCCTGTTGGCACGCATCAATTTGAACCATTTAATTAAGGTAGCTTTTTTTATTTTCAGTTCAATTAAAATCTGTTTAAAATATAACACAACAGCTGTCAGTGGAAATGGGATTGCTTTTTTTTATAAAATTGTACATGATGCAGTTTATTTAACAGGGATACAAGTTTAATTATGGCAAATTGAACGCATGTCTGTGTTCAAACACCTTCATTTTGCAGTGAGTACTTCCATCGTACGTTGCTGTTTAGTTTTCAGACCGGCTGCTCTGTTCAGACAGTCTTACCCAAGCATGAGGGGTCAGACTTAGTAGGATACAGTAGGAAAAACTCGAAATCTGCACATGGAGTAAACTTAGCGATATGGTTATTTTAACCTGGATTTAGTTTTTGTATGCCAGTTATTTCTAGTTTGCAAATCAAGTTTTTCTGGCACTTGAATCCATAGACTGAAAATGAGCCGGTACATATATAGCCAAAAACAGACAATTACACACCTTGATGTGTCAAGACAAGGAGATTGATAGCCGATTCCACCATTTTCAATAAATGAAGTTCCAAATATAATCAGATCCATGACAAGACTCAAAAAGAGGTACTAGCAGGCAACTACCCATTTATTAAACTGCAGCAAGAGGCTTTGTCAAAAGTGGATGGTTAAAGCTGGATGAACAATAACCAGTCTTTTCCTTTTACTTTAAGGGCTGTTAAAAAGTCAACGTCACATTGGCTCTTCCGCAGGTCAACTCTTTTTGTTCCCTCTCCTTTAAAGTGATGGGCAAAGGATCTCATCATATAACGGATCCCTGAGGACGTTAGAGACAGTTAAAGGGTAGAGAAGGAGCTGAATTGAATCACAGAGGACGCAGAGTGGAAATGACTTCTTAGCAATTTGCTTCTCTTAGCAGATGTAACCTTCACTAAACCTGTGTGTGTGTGTGTGAGTGTGTGTGTGTGTGTGTGTGTGTGTGTGTGTGTGTGTGTGTGTGTGTGTGTGTGTGTGTGTGTGTGTGTGTGTGTGTGTGTGTGTGTGTGTGTGTGTGTGTGTGTGTGTGTGTGTGTGTGTGTGTGTGTGTGTGTGTGTGTGTGTGTGTGTGTGTGTGTGTGTGTGTGCATGCTCCTATATTTGGGAGTTTGCACAACTACTTGCATTAACATTAAAAAGGAAAAGCCAAGCCTGGAGTGCTGACTGAATGTGTCATAATCAGGGAATGAGGATGCAAATCTGGCCCCTCGGTGGAATCTAAACCACCGAGATACATTTTAAACAGCCGTTAAAATGTATTGTGTACTTTATGGATTTATTTCATGGATCTAGAACTTTGTAAAGATCCCTCCCTCATCTATTCCCTCATAGTCTCTAATTCATTCCCTTCTTCTACTCCTCCTCCTCCTCCTCTTCCTCCTCATCTCGTCTCTTCCTCTCCACCAAGTCTCTGCTCCCCTCCTCAGGCTACGTCCTACTTTTAGACATTCACTGGTCTGGGATCTGATCAGCATTATGTGACGATGATTTATGAGCTTAGCGAGCAGATAGCAGAACAGAGCAGGGAGTGGATTTTAAGACACGCTTAATCAGATTACGTTACTCTTGGGCCTCTGCAGAAGTGAGGCAGGCTGAGTGCATGCATCTTTTATCAACAACAACAACAACACAAAAGTTAAAGGTCACCTATTATGCAAAATCCACTTTTTCCCGTCTTTTATACATCAACATGTGTCCCCTCTGTGTAAAGAGATTCTGAAAGTTTCAGGAAAAAAGATTCGCTCACTTTTTGTCCGGATCCATTTATATAAAAACCTGTCTGAA